ATATCAGTGTATTGTAAAAGAGTAGAAACTGATACAGATTATAATATACTGATCGCTGCTAGTTAGCTGTTCAATATCGTTTGTAAGTGAAAAGTTTTGATTCAAGATTGAACGAGAAGCTGTAAAGGGGTGTTCCCAGTAGACTGTAGACTGGAAGAATGTGTGGATGTTCTATTGTACCAGGTACATCAGATGATGTATTGTAGATCTGTAAATTGCATAGAGTCTAATATTTAGGTGCAGTTTACAATCAGTAGTCCTGATATTTGCTAAGAAACAACTCATTTGCAGATGCCACATTCCTGTGATCATCAAGCATATCATAAATCAGATTGAGCAATCTTCTAAGATTTTAGACTTGAAGTCATTTTCCTTATTTAGATTTCAGTTTACTGTTATTTACTGTACCTTTAGTGATTTTAGATGAATATAATGGTAAAATTCTACCTCTAGGTTGTATGATCTAGGAGTTACTATCAAAGTGAAAGCTTAGGTGGGCGAGACGTCATGGGATATCAGAGCTCATGTGATAATAATACAAATATCTAATGACGCATGTTAGCAGTATTTGAATTTTTAATGAAGTCCAACAGGCCATGTCTATCTCTGTGCTTTTCGTTGTCCTGTACTCCTTCAACTTATTCTACCACAATTTCAACAGTGAAAGTACACATCTAAATACCAAATACTGCTATTTGCCTGGAGAAACTGTCAAAATTTCTACATTTCCCACTGTTATAGGCCATTTTTTTGATTCACAATGTCACGGATCACCAACATTGRTATACTTTTTAATTTGCATCAASTTACACTCTACTTACCACACACTGTTCTTCGAAACAATAACCATTGAACCAAYTACAATATGGATATGCAGTCGGTTTGTTCTTCAAGTATCAATACAGATCAAAMGACATAAACAACTGTGTTTATACTATYCAAAYGCCATTGCTACATTCCATATGCCTCTTGAAGGTGAACTGAAAGACAAGGGGGTGGTCTTGCCCTTTGACACAGAACCAGCCTAACCATCAATGGGGTTACAAATAAAACTAGGAACAAAATCAGGAAAACGTTCCTTAAAATATGACCACCATTTTGTTTCAGTCAAGCAACAGTTGCACAAAATGAATCGGCATAACACAGGAAGCCCAAATTACACCGATGTAAATGATCATGAAGTATTTCATTACTTGTCTTATACCTGTTAATTGCTATAAATAATCACATATGAAGTATATAGAAGAGACATTTACACTAATGGACAACTGATTGCGACCCACAGTCCGTGCAGCATAATCCCCAGCCAAATATTTCCATGTATGGCCCTCCCACACAGCCAATAAGTCCTCAATATCAAGATTCATATAAGCAAAGCAAAACCATCTAGACTACAAACAATACTTCTACAATTATAATATTTCCAAAAATCCTCTGTTGAAAAAGACTTCCTCACCTATTACTTCACTCT